TAATTGTAAAAAATGCTAACATATAAAAATTGAATTTATTATTCTTTGTAAAAGTAAAATTAAATTGGAAGTTCTATATTTATATTGAGATTGAATGGTGTTATATCTGTGAGGAAAAGATTGGTGAAAAGGATTACATCTTTTCCATCTATGAAATTTTTTTCTCCATATTAATTAAGTTGTAGTTGTTTTAAAATGTCATATTACTATTTATTATTTATTATATTTTAATAAAGGATATTTTAAATTTTATTGTCATTTGAGAAAATCCATAATTTATAAAATTTGTAACATAAAATTTTATTATTCAAATTTTTTTTGTATCATGTCCATCTAAACAAGTATAAGGAAGGAGATAATTGATAAAAGAAATACAAAATTTAAATTTTGAATCCTTATTTTATTCAAATAATCATTTTTGAATATATATTGCTGATTTTTTTAACTAAAACAATTGATTAATTTATTATTAGACTTTTATATGTCTTGGTCAATCATAGGTTTTAATTAAATAGATTAATAAATTAATCCGGTAACAAATTATAAAATCTGCCTTCTAAAATATAAATATTTATATATTAATTTGTGCTGTAAAGTAATGTAAAAAAAAGTAACGTAGTTACTAACGTTGTAACCTTGAATTTTATTCATAAAAATATATATTTCAGAGGTGATTATAAGCAGTGAATATTATATATTTCAAATCTTACAATTATTATTTTGCTTATCAAATTTTTTTAAAATTTACAGATAAGAAATTATTATAATATATATAAATGGTATATAAAAAAATAAGTTATATTATTCAAATGAAACAATATGTTCTCCAAGAAAAAATTAAGTAAGTCTCTTCTCTCTTTTAAAAAATCACATAAATTTTTCAAAATATTTTGTTTTGTTTGGTATCTACGATTTTTTTTGGGAGTGTATGTCTGAATCCTCCATTGGCCGATTTGTCCAGGTCGACTGTTATTTCCATCATCATCTTTTCAAAATATTTTGTTTTGTATGTTATCTACGATTTTTTAGGAGGTATGCCTGATTCCTCCATTGGCCGATTTGTCCATGTCGACTCCATCATCATCTTTTCAATTAGTTCCTATATCTTAGGTTTTTTTGTGGAAAATTTATTATGTTTTCTTTCTTTTCCTGGAAATTATTTTCCTCTTACGATTATTTTTATTCATAATAAAATAGTGGCGCCACTATGGGTAGGATAAAGAGTATGTTTACAGAATAATTTTTTTTTTAAAGTTAAAGAATAAAAAAAACATTTTTTTTCTATATACAAACAGGCAACGCTGTCATTCCCTTAGTTGTGATGATTTAATGAAACATGTTATCTTATCCATATAAAATTATTTTCTTTGCAAAAATAATTAAAATAAAACACTTGGAGACAATTATTTTTTTTTATGTACGATATCATATTTTAAGAAAAGAAAAATAAAGAAATAAAATTTTCGTGTTTCAAGAGAAAAAAATAATTGAAGTAAAAAAAAATAGATACATTAAAACGTAGTTGTTTGTTGTTGTAATACCTGAGTGTTGTTTTGATAGTTAAGTAACTATATATAAACTAATAATTATATAAGATGATTTAACATAGTCTGGAAGAGAAAAAATAGTTAAATCAAACAAACAGCCAAAATCATCGCAATTTGAACAAATATTTGAATGCTTAGTTAGAAAATGGAATTAATGTAGAAAAAAATAATAAACCTACTAATTTATAATTAAATTTAAATGTATAATAAAATTTGAAAGATTAGTAAATGAGATTTATTTTTTCTTAGTTTACCCAAGAGTAGAACTAAGCAAATTCAATTTAATTAAATCATAACTAAACCTGAGTAAAAGATTTTTTATCCCGTAGCTGACTTGGGCTATGCTATTTAAAAATTATAAACAACTCCGGGTCTGGACCCCATATGGCTCGAATTTTCTACAAGAGCTTGGAGGGAGAAGTTACTTCAAAATATATTTTTTTATCTACCTGATTGATTAAATTTGAGGAGGCATCTTATAATATTCGTTTTTCTCTCCCTTTTCTCATTATATACTATGTGTCCGCTTTAGACTCAAAATATTCTTTAAAATATTTAAAAAATAAAAACATTTAATTGTACTATAAAATTATTTATTTTTTATTACTGTTGACATTGAAATAACGATGTACACTCTAAAATTATTTTAAAAATTACATTTTCTAAGTGTAAGCTATTATGGAATAAAATGGGGGCAATCTTCAAACTCTGCAGCCATTTTTAAGGGAAGCATGGGAAAGAAGGAAATTAATAGATAGTCATATTAAGGATAATTGCATATGACGACTCTTATGACATATCTGAATTACAAAGATTTTTAGATAAAGACAAGTCGTTCAATGCGCGTTTCTTTTTAAGGTAACCGTAACGGGTTCCCTTTTTCAGATGTAACGGGTAACTGTAACGCGTTTCTTTTTTGTAGTAACGTTTACAGCACTAGAAGTAATTAAAAAATTTTAATATGATATACTGGATTTTGTTAACTTTTCAATTTTTAACTATCCACTTAAAGATCTTCATAAATATAAACACATTCCACTAACTATGTAAAATTTATTTTTGGGTTCAGAAATTTCAGATTAATCTTTTATACCTAACAATTAACATAAGCCAGATAGTCTACATTCTGTTATTAACAATAATCATTTATATTAATTAATTATTATTGTTAATATGACCGATTAATACTAACCTTTAAATTGTTTTTTTTATGTTGATATAAGTTGATTTTTTTATTAATTGTGTAGATTGATTTTAATTATACAAATTTTTATATATTAATATGAAAATTATTATATAAACCTGATTTTTTTAGTTTGATAAAAAAAATGTAAAATTTTAAAATATATTATATAAAATTAAATTAATAATTTAAAATAAAATAAACAATCTTTATATTAAAAAACTTTATGGTTACATTTTTTTATTTAGAAAACTCGTATCATTACATCATTTATCCTAAAAAACTTTATGGTGGCAGAACTTTATTAATTATAAATTAACCAATTATTTTAGCGAATTTAAATACATTCTTCCTATATTTTATTTTATATTAGTTTATATATATTTAAGGTTTTTAATAATACTTTATTTATATATTTAAATATTACTTTTTAAATATTTTATAATATATTGCATAAATTATCATATAACGATTTTAATTATTTATATTTAAATATTTCTTTATATATAATTTAATATTACCTTATATATATATTTAAATATTACTTTATATATATATTTAAATATTACTTTATATATAATTTAATATTACCTTATATTTATATTTAAATAACTTTATATATATATTTAAATATTACTTTAGATATATTTAAATATTTTATAATATATTGCACAAATTATCATATAAATATTTTAATTATTTATATTTAAATATTTCTTTATATATAATTTAATATTACCTTATATATAAATTTAAATATTACTTTATATATATATATTTAAATATTACTTTAGATATATATAATTATTTATTAAATATTACTTTATATATAATTTAATATTTTAATTATTTATTAAATATTACTTTATATATAATTTAATATTACCTTATATATATATTTAAATATTACTTTAGATATATTTGAATATTTTATATTTAATTAAATATTCATAAATATATATTGCATAAATTATAATATAAATATTTTAAAATTTATTAAATTGAAATGTTAAATGTGTCTTGTTTGTATTCACCATCTTTCTTTCATTTGACTCCAAACAGCTGTGGGAATATTTCGGCCCCGAACCAAAAAAATTTATTAAAAAAATATATAACACAAAAAATAAAAAAAATTAGCTATCAAAATATATAAAATATATTTTAAAAAAAATATAAAATAAATTTATAATAATAAATTAATATTAAATAATAATAAATAAATCTAAAATAAATAATAAATTTATTAATTTGTAAAATAGAATACATCGCCTATTTAACCCGGCAATGTGCACATTGCCGAAATAACAAAATTACCCTGCCTACCACTACCTCACATTGCCGAATATTTCACATTGCCGCTACCATATATATGAGATAGTAATAAATATTAACAAATATAAATTAATATTAACAATAATATTTTTGAAAAATATAATCCGGCATCTGCATTTTTTGGCTTTGGGGGGGGGGGGGGGGGGATTCGTTTTCCTGCCCCCCTTCCCGCTGCGTACGCCAATGTTGCATTGAACGACATATATATAGAGAGAAAAATAGAAATAAAAATTATTATTACGTTTTATATTTTTTTAGAAAAAAAAAAGAAATAAAAATTATTCTTATTCTTACCACGATTAAAAAAGGAAAAAAGTGTTTTAAACGGAAAAAAAAAATATATATATAACAAAAAGGAAAAAGGCGTGATTTTACGTGATACGTGATAAAAGCGTTTTCGCCCTCTGGTTGTGGATACAACAGAGCTACGCTAGGTTTTCCTCAAAAATCCATCAAACTGGATAGTTAATTAAGGGGAGAAAAAATGAGGAGCCCTTCAAACGTTTGTGGGCAAGCCGCACGTACTTGTACGCACAACAGTCCGAGAACTGTTGCTTAAACGTCTATAGGCTAATAGACAAAAGAAATGGGCAAAACAAAAGCCTATACCCAAGAACTGCAAAAATAATTTAATTACTTTAAAGGTGGGTGGTGGCTAAGTTTAAATTTAACATCTTTAATGTAAGCCTTGATAATTACTATCAATAATTGAGAATGTGTTTATATCAATTGAAATTAGAATTTATTCATGAAAATAAGAAAAAGCTAATAGGTTTACCGCTAATTGTTTAAATAGATGAAAATTCCAGTGAATGGCAAAAACAAGTCAGTAATAGGTTTATGACTAAAGAAGAAGTAAGATTGAGAAGAAAAAGAAAAGTAGACAAGGAGAAGAGGAGATAAAAAGATATAGTAAAATAATCTGATTTTGGAGAAGTTTATGGGAGATTTAAATAATTTGATTTGATTTTAAGCAGTTTCTTTATTGATCTCTTATTCTTATTTAGCCTTAGAAACTGTTTAGTGTTTAAGTTCATATCCATGATGTCTTTCATTGCCCTATAGTACCATAATCTTTTAAACCTTCCATAGGATTTGCCGTTAAAGGAGTATAGCCAATTTATGGCATCAAGGACTAGGCTTTTATTGGTATGATTCCTCAGAATATGCGCGAAGAAGGTTATACGCTTTTTCTTTAGAGTTACTTGTACCGGAGTATGTTTAGACCTTCTCCAAAGGTTGTCGTTCGAAATGATGTTGGGGTTAAAGACGCCATTGATTATTCTTAAGCATTTATTAACAAACGTTTGCAATCTCTTTGTCTCCGTCTTAGTTATCTCCCATGTATCACCCCCGTAAAGGAGGATTGGAATGATAGAAGAGTTGAAAATTCTTAGCCTAGTGAACACCGATATCTCCCTAGTTCTCCATAGCTTAAAATATTTGTAGAAAGCAGCTCTAGAATTCTGAATTCGGAATCTCAGTTCATCTTTATAACTGCCTTTATTGTCGATGTTCACTCCAAGATATTTATAGGAAGACACTACTTTGATAACTTTTCCTCCAACTAACCAATCTCCCAGAGGGGGAGCATGTGGCATGATCACAGCCTTATCGAAGTTAATATCTAATCCAACCTTAAGACTAAAAGTGTTTAGTATCAAGACCAAATTGTTAGCCTCCTCCAAGTTTTTTGCAATCAAGACCAAGTCATCAGCATAACTAATCGCCCTGTTTTCCAAAAACCACGGCTGATTGGATCCAAGTTCTAGAAGATTGGCTGCCCCTAATATATCAGTAATTACTCTATTCATTACTATATAGAACAGTAGAGGAGAGGCGACACGGCCTTGCTTAACTCCTTTTTTTGTCCTGAAAGGAGGTGAAACATTATTTAAGATTTTAAATGAAGCCATGAGTTACTATAATGCACCCCTAAAATCTTGATAATATTGGCTTATATATCGCATCTCGCTAGGATAGCCCACAAGGTATCATGAGTGATGCTGTCGAAAGCGCGTTTGAAATCAATGAATATAAAATAAAAAGATAATTTATATTTTTCACACTTTTGTACAATTATCTTCAGCGCCAAGATTGGTTCGTTTATATTTCTGTTTGGGCGATATGCACAAATGTATTTGGATAATAGGATAAGGGAGGATGCTAGGATTCGGTTTTTTAAAAGGATCATAGTGAAAGAAAAATATAAGTTAAAGAAAAATTAAAAATACCAGACTAAGTGGAAACTTGTTAGTATATTATCTTCATATTTATAATTTTGTATATTTTTATAATAAAAATTATTATGTTTAATGAATTTTTATAAAATGTGATTTAAGTCATTTAAGCAGTTTAAATACAAATCAAAACAACACTTTTTAGTGCATTTTTTATTGAATATTTATAAATAAATGCTATAACTTTGATAAATTTAAACATTCATAAGATAAGTTAATGGTAATTAAAAAATAAATGTATATGAAAATTTTGGAATAAGGGTTTCATAATTAATTTGTGTAGCAGTCAGCCTTATCAATTTGTATAGTATTAGTAATATTAGTTTCTGAGGATTTATCTAAGTGTTTAAATTTGGAACTCATGAAACTTATCTTCAAATAATATAAAAAGAATTAGTAAATCATTCACATCAAATATTTTATATATTATAAATTGAAAATAAATGTATGATTCGGGACATGTTTCGTATCTCTCAAAACTCACGAAAGTTTTGCGATTCGCAAAACTTTTGAGGAATTTTTTTTTTAATTTTAGGACACAGCCTTATGTATATTTATTTTACATTATTATAATATTTTCTAAATAATTTTTTTTTAAACAATGCAAATGCACAACACATTTTATTCTTTTTTAAAATAGATTTATTGTATTTTAAAAGATTTTTTGTAAAAATAAAGGAACACCCAAAGTTTTAATTATTTTAAATCTTTTTAAATAATAAAGCCAATTTTATTATTTTTACTTTAAATAAAAGAATTTTTTAAAATATGGTATCTTAATTATGGAAATATTTTACAAAAGACAAAGATAATTTAAAAAATGCGTTATCTGCGAAATCATCTGAGTTTACCTTCTGTACGGCAGGGGATATAGATACTCCATATCGTAAAAGCTTATTGCCAGAAAATCTAGAGGCTCTCGTATTTATCAAAAAAAATCTAATATTATAATTTTATATATTAAATACAATTTTATAATTCATATCAACATAAAATAGATATATTATCAAATATATGTTTTTTTAATTATAGTCTTAATTGTAGAAATAAAAAAAATTAAATTAAATGCTAATTTGATTTTTTGCATAAAAAATATTGATTTCTTAATTACGGTTCAAAGGGGGGTGGTGAAAAATCAATATAAATATCGAATCAGTATCGGATCGGTTTTGAAGCAATATCGGATGGGATCGGTGAAAAAATGTGGAACGGCACAGTCCTAAATATAAGCAACTAAACTATACTACAGTATTGGGCTGGGAACCAACATTAAAAACCCAAGATTAACAAAATATTGGTATTGGTTCTTGAGTTTTTTATATCTTCTAATTCTTGTTTTAGTTTTGCTATTGGTTTGACTATAATTGTTAATAAATTTAAAGAATAGAAAATAGTGATTTTAAAAAACTTTGTTTAAATAATATATATATATATATGAATAGTGGCGTAGCCAGGATTTATCCAATAACAAAATTTTACAGAGAATTTCATTATAGATTTAATTTATTATTAAAATACTATATATAACATCCCATTATTTAACCAGCTGTGTTGAGCACTAAGCGCTCTTGTTTGTCTGATCAAAATTTTGAAATTAATTGTTGCTAAAAATAAATAAAAAATTGTTACATAAAGATGTTATCTTATAATATATTATTTTTATATAATTTTATTTATATTATAATTAAATATATTAATAATTTTTTAAAACGATCTTATATCTTTTTGTATTGTTTTATTTTATTATATATTGTCGGAAAAGAATAAATATTATTTTTATATATATTTAATTTTTTTAAGTAACGAGTAGCCCGTTTTTTGAAAAGTCGGTAAAGCGCGTTCCCTTTTTGAAAAGGTAACGAGTAACGGTAACGCGCTTCTTTTTTGTAGTAACGTTTACAGCACTACTTTTTATTTTTACGCTACTCTTTTTTAAAAATTGTAATTTGTTTTATTTTGGCTGAAAATTGCAATTAAAATATGTCCTGCTTTACTGTTGATAATCATAGTGTCAACATTTTATATAGAATCATTAAGTGCTCCAAGTAAATTCAACAGATTAACTAATGAAGTAAAAAAGCTCAAAATAATTTGAGATATATAATATGATACCGAATCATTTGTTCCTGAGTTTAAAAAAAAATTTCAAGTTCTGAAAATTTATTTTCATTAATTAAGACATTCATAAATTTCGAACATGAATTTAAACGAAGTATATCTTTGTGACATTTAGATGAAATGATAAAAAGAAGCAATTATCATCAACCGACATTATATGGGCGGGTTAAATGATCTGAACTGATATTAATAAAGTAGATGCTATAAAAATAGCAAAATAATTATATATTGAAAATATAATGTCAGTAATCATGAATGCCTCAAACTCGATACATCAAAAATAACTATTAATCCCATCAAAAAAAGAACGATTTTTTTAAAATCAAATAAAAATCATTGATAACCCTAGAATTCCATCATAAATAATTTAGATTAATTTAGAATAATACGAATAATTACGAATAATTTTAATCTAATAATAAAAATTCTTATTATTCATATTCGATTCGAATACTTCTGCTATTCGTATAAAATACGAATCGGATATCGAATAACAAAGAATTCGTTTTAGTCCTAGGAATGATTGATTTAGAAAGTCTTTCTGTTGAAAGCAGAGTTGTACATTTGCTCAAAATAAAAAGATCTTCAAAGATCTAAGATCGTAAAATTTGAAGATCTTTTACTTTTAAAAATTTTGAGCAACGATCTTCAAAGATCGAGATCTTTTGAAGATCTTTTATTTTTAAAATTTTTTTAACAGCGATCTTCAAAGATCTAGATCTTTGAAGATCTTTTATTTAAAAATATTTTTGATCAACGATCTTCAAAGATCTTCATATTTTATAATGTTTTATTTTTTTGATATTATTTTTTGAAGTAAATGGATTAATAAGCATAAGCATGTTAAATTAAAATAAAAATTTAATAAAGATGTACCGACAATTTTCATAATCGTTATTTTAAACTTTTTTCGACATATATGGGTAAAAAAAAATTTATATAAAAAAAAATTTATATTATAATTTCAATGAAGATGTAATGTATTAAAAAGTGGAAATTGTAATAATCGTTATTTTTAACTTATTTGATTTATTATATCCTAAATTAAATAGGTTATAATTTTTAATATTAAGATGTAAAAATAAAATTTCAATGAAGATGTACCATAGAAAAGTGACAATTGTTATAATCGTTATTTTTGAAATTTTTTTTAAAGCATAGCATAAATATTATATTGTTAACATGTTAAATTAAAATTTCTGTGAAGATGAACCACAGGAAAGTGACAATTATCATAATCGTTATTATTGAACTTTTTAAAATTTTTTTAAAGCAAATGGGTAAAAATAGATATTGTTAATATGTTTTAAATTAAAATTTCAGTGAAGATGTACCACAGGAAAATGACAATTGTCATAATCGTTATTTTTGAACTTTTTTGAATTTTTTTAAAGCAAATGGATAAAAGAAGATATTGTTAACATGTTAAATTAAAATTTCAGTGAAGATGTACTACAGGAAAGTGACAATTGTCATAATCCTTATTTTTGAACTTTTTTAATTTTTTTTAAAGCAAATGGGTAAAATAGATATTGTTAACATGTTAAATTAAAATTTCAGTGAAGATGTACTACAGGAAAGTGACAATTGTCATAATCGTTATTTTTGAACTTTTTTGAATTTTTTTAAAGCAAATGGATAAAAGAAGATATTGTTAACATGTTAAATTAAAATTTCAGTGAAGATGTACTACAGGAAAGTGACAATTGTCATAATCCTTATTTTTGAACTTTTTTAATTTTTTTTAAAGCAAATGGGTAAAATAGATATTGTTAACATGTTAAATTAAAATTTCAGTGAAGATGTACTACAGGAAAGTGACAATTGTCATAATCGTTATTTTTGAACTTTTTTGAATTTTTTTAAAGCAAATGGGTAAAAATAGATATTGTTAACATGTTAAATTAAAATTTCAGTGAAGATGTACTACAGGAAAGTGACAATTATCATAATCGTTATTATTGAAATTTTTTAAATTTTTTTAAAGCAAATGAGTAAAAATAGATATTATTAATATGTTAAATTAAAATTTCAGTGAAGATATACCATAAATAATCTTTATTTTTGATTTTTTTATATATAAAATTTAAAACTGATAATTGTCATATGTAATATTTTTAAACTCTTTTTATTAAACAAGGTTAGAATAAAGATATTTTGAAAATTATTTATTATTTCAAAATTATTAAAAAAATATATTGTTAACCAGGTTTGTTGTTAATAAGGTCCTATCCCATTTAATTTAAAAAAATAACCGATCTAATTTTTTTTAATAAAAAATATTGGCTCATTATGTTTCTTAAATTTTTGATGGCTTTTAGATTGTAAAATATTAAAAAGTGGTGCCTTCTAACTTCTATAATTTGAGCGTTATTTAAGTAAAGTCGTGCTTTTACAATGTACAACGACATTAAACAGCAAGAACTCAAATTTATATTACGAGCCAAATATATTTATGGATTGTCAAATTCTTGGTTTTTTAGTTTTGACAAAATAATAAACCTGACCTAACTTATTCAATTGGATAGATTTAGTTTTTTTTATACTGAAAATATTTT